CCCCCAAGCGCCCAAACTAATCATAATATATTCTACGCATCTTACCTTTGTTTACGTGTCGGCCATTTTGAATTGTGCTTACGCGATTAGGTCTGGGACCGAGTAACTCTTTCAGCGTTTATATTCTTCATATGGCCTTGGGATTGTTCGGAAGACAAGGCAAGCAAAACACGACAGGACAACAACAAGGCAAGATAAAATTTTAGGTATCGAGCATAGTTTGTGAAAGACATTCAATCTTTGTACTCGACTTGAATGTATCAAGAGGTTTGTGAATTGATATTTGCTGAAAGGTGACACGGCTATCCAAACACGAAAAATTGTAACATTTCGACGTTCTCAAATAATTGTTACTATGACCATTTCGATAGAGGAGATGCCAAAACTCAACGTTTCTAGGGCCATGTGAGTTGAGGACCATGTGAGTTTACTGCGTGAAGCGGCCTAAGTGTGTTTTGTGAGTCCTGACGTGACATTATTTTACAGGTACGAACATTCTTTATTTCATCCTCATGACTCGTTTTTTATTATTAATATTTTATTTTACACTCAGTCTGCACTTTACCCCTGGTATGCAGTCTGCAGTCCGTATTTTATAAGTTAAAAAGAGAGAGAAAAGGGAAAGGGAACACCCTAATCCAAGAAAGCGACTGCCCAGCTATCGTTATAGTGTCTGAGGTACATCATTTCATCATTGTTCAACCGATGGCCGTCAATGAAGGAAAAACCGCGTACAATAAAAGGTGTTAAAGCATCTTTAAACTGGTAAATCAGTCTCCACTTTTCTATTTATATACTCACTTTATGGTCCTGTTCACTGATTTTTTCCTAAACTAACAGTTGAAAAAATATTTGATACCTAATTTGATAGTTGATATTTATAAAATGAATGGCTAACCTCTTTGATAAATCATTGATTCTTGTCAGTGGCCACCCCACGCAACGTTATTCCCGCCGTTCGACTAAGTCACTAGCGAAAAGTTTACTTCGGAGGTTTAGCAATGTCATCAGGATGGGCTACAACAACTCAGAGAAAGCAATAAGGCTGAGTAAAACTTCAACGAGCTGCCGGGATATGAAGGCGCTCTCGAATATAGTGTTATTGATCGCCAAATGTAACAGGTGTAGATAACCGCTCTGACGAATCCAGCATGGGGAGTCAGTCTACAAGATTCTGGTAATGTGGTTTGCAGGTGTAACAGAAGGAAGCAAGGTATCGCTTGAAACTAATCAGAAATTATTGTTAGAGGTCTAACAATGAGGGAGTACGCCTCATTGTTAGACCGTCTTTTTCTTAACTTTATTAATTAATATTAATCTTAATATTAACTTGGATATTAACCTTGGATACTATCCTAACTCCAAGAAATGATGGCTTGTTGTTAAGCCGGAAAAGGAAGGCCACGCGAAGGAAATGTTTGCAGGGACTGGTATCAATTTCACCACCGAGGGACGCAAACACCTTGGCGCTGCACTGGGCTCTCGGTCTTTAGNNNGTTTTGCAATATAATCAATCCTTTATTAACCAAGCTTGTTCGGTCAAGATGGCTGGATATTAGCCTCATTCTTTTTTGCATTTTTATGGACCTGTATTTCGTCTCGGTCCATAAAAATGCAAAAAAAGGAACTCGGCCAATATCCAGCCATCTTGACTGAACAAGCTTGGTTAATAACACATATATACTACATTTGCAACATACTCATGAATATGCTGGCGAAACTCCCAATGAGGAGTTTTATGATTAAAGCTATTTACGGTTTTTGGAACACTTCACATGATCTAAATGTCTTCAGTTGTGATCCTTTCGAACGACGGGAATGGCTCAAATGTTCAAAGACAAGTCATCGAATGAATGACTGAATAAATGAATAGCTTTATTTAAAGAGGGAGACGCAATAACCTATTAAAGTTGTCTGATAAACGAACCCAAAAAATTAAATTAAAAGACAAAATAAACTAATAAATATATAAGAAATACGTGTATACATATAGATACAATGAATCTATGAAGTTCATATATTTTGAACTGCGGTTGTAGATACGTAGCGCTCTCTACTGCGAGGATCGTGCATCATACGTATATACATATACTAACTTTTTTGTTAATACGAAACGTTTCAATATATAAAACAGCAGTGTGTTGAAGTAAAATGACAAAGGCAATCTATTGGTCGTCAGAGTAAGAGACCGCACCGTGGTCTAATGTTCTCACAGTTCGTTGAGCCGGTGCTATTACAGCACCAGCAGATTAATATTATAACAAATGATAATGAACCAGTCGCTAAACAGAAATGACCGTATAGAAAATGATAATCCACTACCGACCGAGAAAATCATTTTTAAACTCTGTGTCTTTACATACAGTGGCCTCTGTAACGTAATGGATACCACAGACTCTACCTGTGAATGGAGCGTAGTTGAAGATTTCGGGCTTCGAGTCCCGTCGGAGGTATTGGATTATACACCTTTTTTTTACTTTTAGTTTGAGCTGCCATCTATGATAGAATGATAAAGAGCAATTTTCTCAAGGCAGAAACAAAACCATAGCAAAGTAGAGAAAACTCGAGTACCATTGTAACCAAGACGTCATGTGGCTTTACGTACGTTTAGAGGTGGCTCACAATGGACGGTATTTTTTTCTGGCTCCGGTCAGACCTTTATATTCGAGTTAGTGTTTTTAAAGTGCCCATAATGTCAAAAAATGTTTTTCGCTCATCTAATTCTACATTTCACCAAATGAACTTCTGCGAAAAAAATTTTCGATTTGCATAAAACGCAATTTTTTATAATTTTTCTAAACACATTCAAATTTTCCGCCATTTTGGTCCACCATTCGCACCAGTCTTCCTTGGTTTAAAGTGAGTCGTGACGTAGGTTCAGAAACACGTGATTTTGGGTTGTGACTTATCTGACTTGAAAACAAGTGGGAATTTGCTTCAGAGTGGTCACAATATCGTAAGCTCACAATATCGTAAACGACCCGCACTCGACCAGTGTATTTATATGCATTTTAAGGTCAAGTGAGGTTCCTTAACCTACGTCACAGACATCAGTCACGTGGTCATTTTGAGCACGTTATTCTTGTGATCAGCGGCAGGGGTCGACCGCAAGAAAATAGAATTTTGAACTTTGTAAAAATTCGTAAAAAAATCGCGTTTTATCCAAATCGAAAAAAGTTTTCACCGAAGTTGTANGGTACACAATCTCCACCAATAAAGATCATATGGCGTACGCGCGCTTCGTCGCTAATGTTACAGATCTATTAGGAAGGACTGTTGTCTTTTACAGTAAATGACACTTCGACAACCTTAACAAAAGTAAAATAAACAGAGCCGAGTGGAGAGTTTTTTCTTGTTATCGAAGGCTGAAAGACTCTGATAGCATAAGTTGGTTGTGATAGTGTTCGTTGTCTAAATGTCGTGGAAACGTAGTTTGTGTGGTGTCGGTCATTGATGACGTCTGTTTAGGTGAGTCTGTGCTAAGCTAGGGAACCAGCCTTCCAGTTTTTTTCCAGTCATTGAAAGTAGTTAGTACTGTAGGCTTAGAATTGGGTGAGTCGCTTATCAGCAATGTGATTGTTGACATTATGCCCCACTTCTCGTTGATCGTTTCTTTTCGGTCAGTCTTCGCTTCAGATTCACACCATTCTCTCTGATGCAGAAAGTTCTACAGTCGGAGTAATCGATCTTGTAAATTTCTCGTTATCTTTGATCAGTTTGTCCCTGTCTTTGAAGTTAGTTGGTAAATTTAATGATATGGTGATCTATGTGGAATTCATGATATTTTTCAGACATGCTCTGGTGTACAGTATATAGTCACTGAAGTCGCAAGCGTCGTGCTATCGTTTGTTTCAGCAGTTGCAGTGGGCGTTAGGTGTTATGGCGAATGAAGTCATCGTTGCAGTTATTCTTGGAGACAGTCGAAGTAATTGTTTCGGTCGAACAGGCTGCCGGTCGTGCTGCAAAGTAGTTGCATACTTCCCACGGGTTGTAGGAGGACTCGCAGAGTAATTTGTCAGTATGGGTCGGTTTCCGGCTGTCAATTTTGTTTTATAGTAAACTCTCATTACAGCAAAAGAGGCAACCTGGAATTCTCTGTAAACCTTTGTGTCAACATAAATCGGACTTACAACACTCAACTGACAACAACTACTCTGACGATGACTTCCGCTAAGGTTGACCAAACGTCTGTTACTACTAACCAACCACAGCCATTCTCAGGACTACTCTCATCCGGATACTGGACTGCTCCCACCCGAAAGACTGGACTACAAGATCAAATGTTGCTCAGGGTACAAAATTATAACGTTACAAAGGTCAAAAAAATATCAATAACACACATACATACGTTTATTGCAACTCCCAAGCTGGGTTTTTCAGTTACAAAGCCTACATTAAATTATTGTAATTATAGTAACATTATATCAGCCTAAAAATTTATATAAGTAAATCTAAAGCTAATATGATATAAATACAAAAGGCCAGTAAACGTTAAAAACACTAAGGAACTAATACAAAAATTAGACAAGAATAGAAGATTGAAACGATTCATCTGTGCGCAACATTTCCACTAAGGAGCGCATTCAGTAGGTGGAGCTTAAGGGCATTTACATTCTCAGCTGCTTGTAAGTCTTTTGGGAGGTTATTCCACAATTCGCATCCGCGATAAGTGAATGCACGTTGCCCAGAGAACAGGCGGCATCGTGGGTTGTGGAGCAGATTACATGATCTTGTTACCCTACTATGAATACGAGATCGTGGGACAAACGTGTTAGCCAGATATTCAGGAACTAAATTATTTACACATTTAAATAACATTACAGGACAGAACGGATACCAGAGCCCCTGTGCAGTGCACCAATAAAGGAGACCGCAGACAAGGGGTTACGAGACGGAAACGGAGAACATGAAGGAGCCACTGTGCAGTACACCAGTTAAGGAGACCCAGCACAAGAGGCTTAGACACACTCACTCAAGCTACGGAGAGTGGGGTAAAGCAATTAGATAGAAAAGACCAGAGAGCGGTTCACAACAGAAGCTATGGTTCCACGGGCGCCCCACTGCCGGTGAAAAAAGAGACGGCGTCTGTCTGACTTGAACCTTTTGAACAAGATGGGGAGATAAAATTTCAGACGTGCTTCGATGGAGGCGATAACCGCCACAGCGCCAGGAAGAGTGTTACGAAAACGAGAATTATTACGGGATTGCCAGATACAAAACTTAGAAACGTTGAGTGTGTAGACGAAGATGTGCGAAATGACAACAGGCTCATCAGAGCGAAAACCAAAAAGTAGGTGACGAGGAAAAAGAACAGGACACATGGGAGAGTAACAGAACATGAGAGACTGCACCCAGGAGAGGACACTCTGAGCAAGTGCACAGGAAAAGAACAAGTGCTCGAGTGATTCTACCGGGACGCCACAAAAACACGGTAAAGGGACAGCCAGACCAAATGAAGAAAGACGCTGGGCGGTGTAAAGGACGCCGTACGCTATTTTCCAGTTCAGATCGATGACTTTGTGACAAGCGACAGGGAGCGCCATGTTGAAGGCCAGTTCAGACAGGGATACAAATCTCGAAATATTTGAATGCAATGCGGTGGAGTCGCGTTCTCGGACAGAAGGTAGAGATATCTAGTCTTAGTAGATGTCTCTGCAACCGGAGCACGGGTGAGGGAAGACCTGATGACCAAAGAATTCTTTGACGGGGCAAAGGAGCCGTTAAGCTCACGCCAAGCCAAGACTAAGGACTGATAAAAGGGCGGCAAGGCTCGGTGGTCAAAAGAGAAAGGGCGGGAGAAAACAACTGAGGGGGGAACACCAAAGGACGAGAGAAACCAAAAAGACAAAAAAGAAGACCAACTAGATGGGGAGGAGGCGAACCTCCTAACCCATTGACTAAGAAGAGCCCATTCTTTGTATTTGACATTGACAACTGAGAAGCCACCAAGAAGAGGAGGCTGCGACACAGAGGAGCGCGAAACGCGTTCGCGCTTACCGGACCAAAACAAAGAGAAAACCGAAAGAGAGAGTTCTTTCTCCACCCAGGCTGGCATGTGGACAAGGGAAGCCACATACGAGACCCGGGAGAGGGCGAGGGCATTGACCACCAAAGCCTTGCCGGTAAAACACAGGAAGCGAGAACGCCAGGATTGGAGAACACGACTCACCGCATTAATGCGTGGGCGCCAGTTCTCTTCGTCTAGTTTTCCAGGGCCGATGAAGATGTCGAGGATCTTGAGGCTTGATGCTGACCAGTCAAAAGGGACAGGGGGGTCAGAACGGCCACGCCACCCGCCCAACCAAAGACCCTTGGACTTTGCGATGTTAAGCTTCGAACCAGACGCCTTTTCGAACAGAGTATAAATCTCAAGAGCGGCCCTGATGGCATCGTCAGATGTCAAAATTAACGAAGTGTCATCAGCGTATTGAGATATGGGAGACACGGGGGGACAACCCGGGAGATTCAAGCCGCAGATACGGGGATAAGCGCGGATGTTACAGGCCAAAACCTCCGAGACCAGAACATATAAGAGGGGTGACAGTGGACACCCCTTCCTAACACCGCGAGAAAGATTAAAGAAGAATGTTAGATAGCCGTTGACATTGACTGTGCTCTGAACTCGATTATAAAAAAGGTCGACCCAGGAAATAAAAGAGGGGCCGAAGCCCATAGCCAGCAAGGTAGATCGCATGAAACCCCAATCGACTCTGTCAAAGGCCTTCTCTTGATCAAGAGAAAGCACCGCAATAGGGGTCGCAGAGGACTCTGCGTAAGTGACGACATCTCTGAGAAGTGCAACGTTTTCACCAATATATCGACCAGGGACACCACATGTTTGGTCACGCTTGACACCTAGATGGATGACATCAAGAAGGCATCCGGCGATGGTCCGCGAAGCTAGCTTATAATCCACATTCAGCAGAGATATGGGTTTCCAGTTACGAGGATCCAAGCGATTCCCTTTCTTGAAAGCAAGTGTGATGACTCCTCTGCGCTGAGAGAGGGAAAGACAACCAGAAAAAAAGCAAGAGTTGAGGACAGTGACGAGATCAGGACCGATGACATCCCAAAACTTCAGGTAGAACTCCATAGGGAGTCCATCTAAACCAGGAGCTTTTCCGCGAGCCATGCCTTTGAGGGCTTTAAGCACCCCAGATGGCGTGAGGGAGCCCTCGCAATGGCTGGCCTGATCTCGCGGGAGAGTGGCGGTGAGATTACGGAGAAGTGAGGATTGAACAAGGGGATCAGTAGGAGAGGCAGTGAATATACAAGAATAGAAAGAGCGTAGAGAAGCACATAAAGCCGAGGGAGAGGAGACAATAGAGCCATCAGGGTCTCTCAGCGCAGAGATGAGACTATCGGCGGAGCGCCTTTTCTCCAGACGGAAAAAATATGCTAAGGAGGATTCATCCTCCTCCACCCATCCTTGAACGGACTTGTTCGCCTTTAGCAGCTAAAGAATCGAGTGAAGCCAGTTGCGAGAGGGCCGACTGGAGGGGGCCCACACAAGAGGTAACACCGGCATCCACCTTGTTCTGGAGATGCTGGATTAGATTCACCAACGTATCTCTATTAGCCGAGGAAGCTAAGGACTTCCGGCAGCAGTAGCGTATCGTGAGCCCTTTGATACGACTTTTACCCTCATCCCACCATTTCCCAAGTGTGGGGAAGCGGGGGATGGAAAGACGCCAGACAAGCCAAGTATCACTCACGAGCTATACATATTCAGGGTCGTCCAAGATGGAGGTATTGAGTTTGCAGTAGCCAGGACCATGAGGGGTGACATCAGGGATAGAGGTAGAGCGCAAAACACCACGATGATCAGAAAAGGGCAACAATAGACAGAACAAGAGGCAACAGAGGGAACCCACGAAAACGGAACACCAAAAAGGTCAATACGAGAGGTAAGACTGCCATCCCACCTGGTCCAGGTGAAGCCTGGGGAAGAGGGATACAAGTACCTCCAGATGTCGGTCACACAGCACGATTGGAAAAGGTGACTAAGCGCCGAGGAGCTCTCACGGGATGTGCTGGCGGGGTCAGAACCGCCAGGGTCGAGAGACCTGTCAAAGACCGTGTTGAAGTCGCCAGCCAGAATAGTTGGGATCGAGGGATCGATCTTGGTATGAAGGCTATTTGGTATGAAGAAATTGTCACGTGCAGGGTTGCGGTTAGGGGCGTATAGGCACACAACACGGAACACTTAACCAAGGAAGGAAAACTCGCAGTGAAGATAACGACCAGCATTGTCACACCAAGAATTATTTAAAGACAAAGAAGGACGAAAAAGAATTACAGAACCACAGGGGAATGGACAAAACCAGGAGAAGCTACAGCATTAAAACCAGAGGAAGAGAACCAGGAAGAACATTCAGACACAGAGGAAACATGGGTCTCCTGGAGACAGACAACGTCTGCACTCACAGGTAAGTTCCGCAACCACTGCACAAGACTATCTCGCTTAGACCGGTCTCTGATACTGTTGGCGTTTAAAGTGATGACGGGCAAAGTCATGAGGAGAAACTGAATGACCCTCATGAAAGCCAGGGCTCGGTTTATAAGTAGAAAGCGGAGATACGCCATTGGTGGGAACATGGCGACGAGAAAAACACGAATAAATTAGTGGAATGAAAAGCGTTCGTTGATACCTGTGGGATTAAGAGTGCCGATTTGAAAGATAAARTTTTGTTCAAGAGTTTTGCGGTTTTCCGTGTTGCCTAAATGTAAGGAAAGATCGCAGATTGCCATATGTTGTTTAGAATGATTAGGTAAATTAAAGTGTCTAGCGACTGGTTTTGATGCGTCCTTGTCAATCCTTTCTACGTCGCGAAAGTGTTCTCGGAAGCGGTCACTCAGTCGTCTTCCCCGTTTCACCGATGTACAACTTTTTGCAATATGTGCAAGTTATGCAATAGATTACGTTGGCGGAGGTGCACGTGAAGTGATCGGTGATCTTAATGGATCGCTTGGGTCCCGATATTTTCTCAGGGTTGTGAATGAAAGGACGAGTTTTGCATCGTGCGCGAGCGCAATTAAAAGTGCCGGGTTGGTCATTCGTTTGGAATGAACTTCTGACCAAAAAATTGCCTCTCTTTTTGTCGCGTTTGAATGAAATAAGTAGAGGTTGCGAAAGGATAGTGCCGGTCTCTGGATCGTTTTAAGGAATTTAAAGTCTTTAAGAATAATGCATGGATCTAGCTGAGTGGTTGTGTGGGTGAAACGTGAGAGTGAATGTCCATCGTCAGTGATAAGAACCCAAGAGAACAGCTAATGACAACAGATACTTGTAACTTTTACGAATTTCAAACAACGGCAATTTATCCCTATCCATTAATTGAACGATTTAGTTATAAGCAAGAAACATAAATGTTGACAAAGCGAAATACTTGAATGTACCTCTAACTTCCTCCAAAACACTGACAGTACACTCCATCTACAAGAAAAATTCCAAAAAGGTGTTTGTTCTCCAAATGAAAGAGCTTCTCTGAGAGAATTTAAGCGAGGCATCTAGGTGAAATAATATAAGAGATCAGAAAAGGCTCGCGATGGATATTTACCTCGCCGCTTCGAATTAGCGAATCGGTAAATATTCACCACCAGCCACCTTTAGTTCGATGAATTGTCGTTTATTATCACAGGGAGGAGAAATAATTGACAAGAGGGGATCCGAGTTTGTAGGAAGCTTGACTTGTGCAATATTATATAAGATATGTCTACTCCTCCAATCACAACCACGAAAAAATAACAGCGAAAACAAAATTAGTATTGTTTCTGGCAGGGCTCCAACCTGCGACTTTCCGCGTGTTAGGCGGACGTGATAACCACTACACCACAGAAACCTTCCCTATTAATCAGGCATTAATTGCTTGCCTAATAGAAATTAACGCATCAACCAAGATGCCTCGCTTTAATTCTCTCAGAGAAGCTATTGCATCTGGAGAACAAACACTTTTTTTGCACTTTTTCTCTCAGATGGAGTGTTCTGCTTTGGAGCAAGTTAGAGCTGATATTCATGTATTTCGCTTTTATGTTTCCTGCTTCTTACTACATCGTTCAATTAATAGATAGGGGAGAAATTGCCGTTGTTTGAAATTCGCCAGTTACAATTCTGTGTTGTCATCAATTGTTCTCTGGGGTTTTTATCATTGACGATTGACTGTTGCTTCGCTCACAAGGTCGCAGTTTTTTCCTTAGAGTATGGCAAGACAATATAAGGACAAGCTGATATTCTCTCAATAGAGGATGTCTGCTCACTGTGATGCAGCCGTAGTTGATGCAGGTTTCACAGTAACCAAACATGTTAATGGTAATTATGAGGAACACGAACGTTGATATGGGCCACCGGAAAAATCGTATGACAGCAGTTGATGACTGATTAGAACTGCTGTCTTTATGTTTGACTTTTTTTCGCCCATCAACCATATAGCGCATTGTGGACATTGCGGTATAGATAACTGAACTTCTTTGGTATTATCTAAAAGAATCAAGGTTAGGGTTAGCGAGAATCATGCCACTAGACCAACATGCCACATTTATAATA